CATCTTCCACGTCCCCCTGCTTCTGCCCTTCTGCCTCCCTGACTCTGTTCACCAGCACCTCTGTCCAGTGATGGAGGGTTTTGCTGCTGCAGACACTCCCCTTCACTCTCAGGTCACACATGTCTGCCAGCACGTGGACTGTACTGGACCATAATGAAACCAGCCATTTTTTGATGCCCTCCTTCAGCTGCCTTACCAGTGTCTGCACCTCTGATGAAAGCAGCTTGCTCCAGCCAAGAACACTGATCCCCTGGAACTTCTCCATTTAATTCTTGATCTCCTTCACTGCAGGGATCACCTGGCTAAGGAGGGCATCACCAGTGCTTAAGGTCTTGGTGGCCTGAGGACCACCAAGATCTGGGAGATGGTACCCCACTCAGTTGTGTTAAGGGGGCTGTTGATTCCAACCTCCCTGAGCAAGGCCATCACATGGATGGCCTTCAATTGTTCAACCAGCCTCTCGAGCATCAGGTTTATGGAGTTCCAATGAGTGTCCACATCCTGCATGATTTTATTTTGCGGGATGCTCAGCTCTGCCTGTTTGTCCTGCGGCATCTTGCATCGCTTGATGCTCCGGTAGAAGTAGCCTGCCACGTTCCTGTATTTTGAAATGAGCTGGCTGGTAGTGATGTCGCCATCACTGGGAGCCCTGTCCCCCACCAAGGCATCCCTGACTATGAGGTGAAACTTGTAAGCCACACAGCGGATGCCAACAAAGTTGGCATCACACACTGCCTTGACCATATTGTCCCCATTGTTGGTGACCATGAACCCATGGGTGAGCTTGCCCTGCTCAGTGAGCAACCCCTGCACCATGTGGTTCATGGCCACCATGATCTCCCTTGCCATGTGGGACTCATCCATCACCTCCACTTGAAGGAGAGCCCACTGACACCCTGACTAATTGCACCAGTGCCCTGTGAGAGAGAGGTAGACGCGATTTCCACCCCGGCTGCTCCAGATTTCTGAGGTGAAGTGCAACTGTGGACCTGCCTTGAACAGATCCTCCCTCAAGTATTCCCTGCATGCCTCATACAGAGGCAGGGTGGCCTGCCTCTGCTTCTTGGGGATGGGGGGCTTTGGAGGGAGGGGAGGACTACTTTTTTGGCATGCTCCCAGTGGTGCGAGGCTGAAGAACAAGGGCAAGGGGGTGCTACCTCCTGAGATGCAGCGGCATCGCTGTGGTGGTGAAGTGTTTCAACTCCTTGCCACGACTGATCTGCTTTCAGCAGTGCTGGCAAGTAGCGTATCTGGGATCATCTGCCACCTCAAAATGATCCCACACTACACTATCTATCTGATTCTGGGTTGAGGGTGGGGATCCTGCCTTATCCACCTCCTCACCAGGCAGAGGCACAACAGGAGGAGGAGCTGAGCCACCTGCCCCCACAACCTCCTCCAAAGTGCCTTCCAGAGAAGGAGACCTGCCTCTAGGGGAACTTTGAGGGGTGTGGAGCAGAAACTCAGATTCCCCCTCCTTCTCCAGAATTTGCTTCACTATGGCGCTCAGCTCCCCTGTTTCCATATCCAGCACCTCCTCTGGCACTGGAAGGCTCATGCTGGGAGATGAAATTGGGGTGGAGAATGTTATGCTGCTGCTGGTCAGTGGTGTCAGTGGTGGTGTTGCAGGTGCAGGCACTGCTACCACCTCCTTGCTCCCGCTAGCAGCAGAAGACTCATGACTACCAGGAAAGAGGGTCCATTGGCTGGACTCGATGATCTTCCGAGGTCCCTTCCAGCCCTAATGTCTATGAAATCTGTGTTTGGGACGGGGGGAACTTGCATCTTTCTCTCCTCCCCCTCTCCCTCTGCAGCCAGAAGACCTGGCACCTGCCTTTCCAGCACACTTCATAATGTTTGGTGTGCTGCAGAATGTGTGTGTGTATGTGATATATGTTGTACTTTCCTGCATAGTGATAACACATGTCTGGGAAACGCATCTGTCAGGGAAAACACAGATTTCTTTTTGTGGGGGGGGAAGAATCAAGACAGACTAACATGAACAAATAAGAGGGTTTCAGGGGGAAAATAAGTTGAAAGGAATGGATAGGGATAACAATAGGGACTGTAGGCAAGGGAAAGTAGGAAAGGATTGGATATAACTTACAAGAAGAGAGACTAGCTAGCAAGAGACTAGCTAATGAGCCAGAGCCTTTCAGGCGCTACTGCTCCAAGAGAGAGACAGCTCACAAAAGGCACAGATCACTTCAGGCACAGCTTCATATGTTGTTTCTACGTCCTTCCCCCAGAGCACTGTGATTGGAAGGGAACTCAGAGAAAGATCACAGTCACTGGCCAGATGTCAATATCAGAGCAGTCTTTCCTCCCCCACCTCAGCCTTTTCCATTTATGGAAGATCACCCCATCCCCCTCCCTCTTCTCAGTTTCTGCTTGCTGCAAGCCTTCAAAATCTCTGAATCTCTCTGAATTGATTTGGAGGCTTCCGATTCAATTTGGACCTTTTAATGGATCTCCCGTTTTGATTCGGATTTGTAGATTCGGCTGCCGAATTGGGCCAAATCTCCTCCAGATTGATTCAGCTACTGAAGCTTTGCACAGCCCTACAAACCATCCTGGGATGCTGGGGGACTGTGAGTTAACTTAAATCTGGAGGGCATATGGGACAGAAGTTCAATAAACCAATTTAACCTAAATCAGTTAAGTATGATACTGCCTCCATCCAGGTTTATCTTAAACCAGTTTCGGTCATTTTGAAAGCAGTTTATGTGCACTGAACTTGTGTTCCAGATTTGAACCAGTTTCCTATCACTTATACTGGTTTATGTGTAGTTTCTGTCCCTAACCTAAAGCACCAAGATATTTAAAGGGCTCCGAGGGAACCTGAGACCACCTGGGCTTCTGGTCTGCCCAGGTGCCAGGCTCACAAGTCTGTCTGTGAGCCTGTCTGGCCTGTTGATAAGCTCTCCTGGGCATGGGGGGAACTGTGGAGCAGCCCCTGATTGTCCTTTGGCTGGAGAGTGCAGCAGAGAGCATAGCATGCTTTTGCTGTGCTCCACCTAAAGTGTTTTGAATGTGTGGCTGCCCATATTTATTTTAGCAGATCTACACATTTTGCAGACTATTACATGTGGCTTTATCAGTGTCTGAAACTGGTCTTTCTCCTTTACTCATTCACCTGCTGAGCTCTCCTATGTTTCAGGACCTGTCTTCTCCATCTGTCTCTCTCTTCTAACAGGAAGAAGGAAAAAAACTGTTAGTCTGAAGAAGCAGAAGGGAAGGGAAGGATCAAACAAGTCAGAGAGGAAGGCAGGAACATTCAACTACTGGCCCCAAGTACTTTGGAAGCTGATAAAAGCTGAATATGATCCCTCTATCTCAGACATACTCAGACACTCTCAGACTGCTTGAAGGCAGGTTCAGTAGTGTGGCTCAAAGCCAGGAGATTGCTAACGTCTAGCTTGAGGGCGTTTTTAGTACTAGAGTGTGTCAATTTATTTCTTCAAATAAAAGATACTTATACATTAGCAGGAAAGTAGAAAAGCTTTATAAAACTCTACATGCAAATGGAATTCAAGACAAATATCATCAGGTTATTTAAACGTTAGAGAGGTTCTTGATTTTTTTCCCCAGAAATATTTTAAAACACATTTTTATGAAAAAGAGCTATAGTACACACATGCACACTTGTATAAAATCACCAGGGAGACTGATGAATGAATTAGAAGACAGAAAAATAATCTCTTCTGGAAAATGGTCATTTTAATCTACTGCACCAGTGGTTCTCAACCTTTTTAGACTTAAGGAACTCCTTGTTGGACTCAGGGCACTCTTTGGAAAATGCCAGATCTTAACTTTCACTCACTTTTTGACTGCAGAAGAATAAAACAGCAATTCTGTTGCAAAGAGCTCAGAAAAACCACAACAGATCAGGATGTTTTTGACAGTATAGATTCCTATTTGAAATCCCTGTAAGTCAAGTTTTCACACTTCACAGTGCTAACATTGCATAGCACCCCACGGCACCCTGATTAAGAATCACCGTACCAAACATTTACAATGTTTTAAAATTTATTTACACAAGTTTTAGACTGGTGCATAACTATTGACTAAGGTTGGACTAAGATTGGACTAAAATTCTGTTTTATACCCTTGTAAGTGAGAGGAGAATTATTCCCAGTGCTTTTACAGGGAGAAATGTGCTCATCATGTTGTCTTTCATGATAATTTTGATTCTGAAAACTTGGATTTGGTCACTGTTTGGAAGTTAATATAAGGAAGAATCTACATTTTTACAAAATCTATGATGAATCAGGCCCTATTAAAATATGGAAATTATTCTGAAGTCTCTATGCAGAGATCATCATAAACAGACAAAGCAACTGGGATGTACTCTTTTCTTTTTAAGTGCCCTTGTTTACGATGGCATTTTGTTTCTCTTCATCTTTATTTGTAAGTACCAGGATTACCTCACTGGCGCTCTGATTTCAGCAAGTGGAGAGAGGTTTTCTTTTCCTCCTTTCCTCACTTCTATCTGATAAATGCCCATGACCATAATTCTGTGATTCTTGAATAAAAGAGGTGAGAAGCACATGTCCTTACCTATGAAGTCGGTAGTCCACACACAGATGACAGCCTGTGGTGGCACTGACAATCCATAGTTGGAGGTCATTACACACACACACACCCCTTTATTAGCCTGACAATGCATGAGCAGGCCTGTTTGATGATTATGTCCTTATGTACGGCAGTGACTGTAAAACACATTGTGCCTACACACATAGAGCATCTTTTGAAGAAAGCATAATTCAGCAAAATACTTGTCTCTCATAGAGCAGAGGGACTGTTTTATCTTCAAAGTGCATCATGAATGTGTAGGATGAGAATTTCAAGCCAGCCTGAATACTTAAAATTAATGGGAATTGAATAACTCTTTCTCCTTCACAGTCTTGACAAGCTCAGATGCAGTATTTCCTCAGATATTTTAGCAGTTGTTTTGAAAGATGCCACAGTGACAAGTGTGTTTTTAATTGCTATTGCAGACATTCACAGCCTGGTGCAATTCCCACCTCAGGAAAGCAGGCACGCAGATCGAGAACATTGAAGACGACTTCAGGAATGGCCTTAAATTGATGCTCCTCTTGGAGGTCATCTCAGGTTCGTTTCAAATAAAAACTTTTAATGCTCCTTGCATTTTAATCTAGAACTCCTCAGCGTACATATTATATGGCAGAAATTAATCCCATATAGGTTGGTTAGGAGAAATCCTGTTGTCAAGCAGCTGAGACCAACAAATCTGCACTTCGATACATAATTCTTACCAGTTCACTGCGAAATGAATGAGCTCTGAGGTTTATTTATTGAGTATCCTGAGTGAATTGATTGCTGCAGCTGCTCTGATGCTGAAAATAAAAACCTTAGTTTCCCGCTACTGTTAAAAGGTAGAAGAAATGGATGATTTGTCCACCTCACACTGACTTCCTTAATACATTTCTTTATGGGGTTCTCTCCCGCAGTTTTTTCTTGTGGATACTTAACATCAGGATTCTAAGTTCATATTTAGGAACCAAAAATAAGTGCCCTAATTTTAAGTGTTCATCATCCAACATCTCCCTTTGACTTATATTTAACTAGCTAATTCATCCTTTCCCCTTTCCATTTAAAAGGTGCAGCTGCCAATGGGGTCTGTAATAAATTGAGGAAGCTATGGGACATGGGGAGAGGGTGACCTAGTTGATGATGGAGGGGAAAGGGAGGGAGCATGGTAAAAAGAGCATTTCTAAGATATTTTTCGAGAAGACAATTTTGATACGTATTCATATATAATTACATTCTTGACCATTGGAAAAGACAAGATTGTGCAACTTTGGATACCAGGTGGTGGCAACATGGCCCTGAAATTAGTTGGTTTTCCAGCTGGGTTAGGTCTGAAGGTGGCAGTGATGCCTGCTGCAGCATCGTAAGGTCTGTGGGACTTGGATATGCTTAACTGTACAGATACTTGGATTCTGTCTGTTCCCCAGTGTACTCTTCTTTCATCTAGTGTATCTCTCAATCTTCTTCACTTCAGAAATCGTCAGGTTGGCTGAGATTTTACTTAGACAGGGGTAATATGGCTGTCTGATTTATATAATTCAGACTCACCTTGTAATCAGGCAGGAAAGGGTGATATACAGTGCAGAAGGGCTTCTGCCCTTCCTTTTTTAATATTCAACTACTCTAAAACAGCTATTAGCAGGAAAATGAAATTTGGAAAGTAAATGTATTCATATGTTTTTAAGGTATTTGGGGCAAATGTAAAAATATTTGTGAGGTTTTACTGCTGTACTAAAGAGATCAAAGCCTGTCACTTCTTCATTTGAATTTGCTCTTCGGGGTTTTGTTCAAAGGCACTTGACATTCTTTCAGAAAAATACCTGCAGGATAGCTGTTAGCTCTTAGACATCATATAGTGTACACACATTCTAAATTTTTCTATTCACTTGTGTGCCTGTAGCTAGGTGCCTGTAACAATAACATCACATTTGTTTTCCTACAGGAGAAAGACTACCAAAGCCAGACAGAGGAAAGATGCGCTTCCATAAAATAGCTAATGTCAACAAAGCCCTGGATTTTATCGCCAGCAAAGGAGTGAAACTTGTGTCAATTGGTGCAGAAGGTATGTGGAAGTACTTGCCAGCTGGCCTTGGTTGCCAGGCCCTTCATTTCCAAACAAATTTGATACAGGGACTTGGGACCAGGTTGTGCTGGTTCTTCTTTGACTCATAGATGTAGGGTTGGAAGGGACCTAAGTAGATCATCAAGTCCGACCCCCTGCCCTGGGCAGGAGAGAATACTGGGACCATATGGCCCCAGCTAGGTAATCGTCAAGCCTCCTCTTAAAGACCCCCAAGGTAGAAGCCAGCACCACTTCCCTTGGAAGTAGAAGGCACCACTTCCCTTAGAAGTATGTCCCTTGGACATAGAAGGCCCCCAAAACATCTGAATGTTGCTGGCTTCTCTGCAGTAGCGGGAGGACAAGAAGCAGAAACTTTACCGGCACATGGAAATGTTGGGCTTTGGCTGGGACTGTGGACTATAGAACAGGGGGAACCAACCGCCAAGTGGCACAGGTAACTTCTGTGCGTGGCATGCAGCAGGCGGGAGGGGACAGGCAGCACTACTGCAGAAGGACAGGGAGCAGAAAGCAGTGCAGCAGATCAGGCAGGTGAAGGGGATTGGAGTAGCACTTAGAGAGGGCATGGGTCTTAATTTGTGGCATGCCAGTCAAAAGGCCTAAAATGCCTTAGCTGCTGCTCATTCCTTTTTCCTGAAGATTAAGAGAATATTTGCCTCTTTCAGTGCCTTCCTATCTTTCAACATGCTGTTAAAAATGGTAGTTCTTTTAGAAATCAGATTCTAGACTGTACTTCATCCAGCCTTTCATGTTCATTTATTGAATACCTAGAGAGCAATCATTTATACAGGAAATGTATTGAGGTAATTGCTTTGTGATTGTGTTTTATTGCCATCTTGTTAATATGGTGAACTGTGCCTACTTAGTACCTAGAATATTCTTGATGGGATATCCTAGATGTTTGGTCCCAGATATCTTGTATTCTTTGCTGCACCATGGCTCAACCTCAACGGGAAGAGTGGACAGCACCCCCTGCCTCATCATAGCCTGATAGTTAAGACCCTCTCCTGGGAGGTGGAAGATGTGACTTTGAACTACCTAAGGCTCCAAAGAGCCTAAAACCAAGGTCTTCCATTTTTGGGAGTGACCTACTTCCCAAAATATTGGTGGTAGCAATGGCACCATGACTGCCACCTCTTCCTCCAGATATATTTCTGAATGAAAGTGGCTATGATTGCTATACTTTGCACTGAATGCAACACTGTTTATGTGGGCTATCTGTTTATGTGGGCCTGCTGACATGACTGCCTGTGAGCACTTAAGTGCAAGGGGTGTCCAGTCTGTGAATCCCAAATCCGGTTAAGTGTGAAACAGGTATTAGTAGGTTCATCTCTCCCAAGATGGTGACTGTTTTGGGTACATGCAGTGTCAGAACCATAGGAGTCTAAATAATGTTCCTGGTGAAAATGTAGACACTGAAAGAATCTTACTTACCTAAGTGATGAGATGGATTTTCTGCACGGCTTACTTGGCTTTATACACCTCAATTCCACATAAGTGCTTTTCAACATCTGGGACTAGGTCACTGGTGTTAAGCTTCTGAATCTGTGTGCAGTCACTTAAGGAAGTCCCCACAACCCCTCCTGGGTTTCAGTGTGAGTTGTTGGGGAAGTTTGTATTTCAAAAATCAGGTTGATTGAGTTTAGAGCCCAACTTTAATTATCTATTTTTGAAACTGTTGGCTATTCCTTTTAACAAGGCAAAGTATTTTTTAGAATTTTGTTTTTTAAGATAATGGGTCAAACTTTAAAAAAACACCTTGAACACAAGACATCATCCACAAACTGGATTGTGTTCAGAATGGCTCAAATTCAAATAGCTGCTTTCTGTTTACAATGCTGCTCCCTGAAGGTCCATTCATAGTGTCTGATGAAGTAATTTGTTGCTTATGAAAGATTATGCCTATCTGAATTTGTTAGTCTATAAAAGAGGCAAGGATTTTTTTGGATGATATCTTTTATTGGACCTGCGGCATGTTTGGGATAAAGGTAGAGAAGTTTTTGAATGCAAGACATTTTTCATCAGTTCTGAGGAGGAAAGCAAGCACAGTGTCATGCTGGGTTGTGGGTGGCCAGGTCTGGGGGTCGAAAGAAGCAACCAAGATCCAAGAGGGGTGTGTAGAGTCTGAATGTAGGGGAGCCTAGAAGCCAGAAGATCCATTTGGGGAACTGAATCGGAGGATCGGGCAGAGAATGGAGTCAGGAGGCTGGCCAGGTCAGGTATCTGGTTATCTGGGAGATCAAACCAGAGTCAGATTAGGGAGCCGAAGGGTCAGGCCAAACTCAGGATCTGTGGGCAAGCCAGGTTGGGTAGCTAAGTGAGGCAGCCTCAGTACAAGATGGAGCCTTGTTGCCTAGACACTTCCTCTTCTGGGTTTTAATAGTAGGGGGTAAAGGGTCCACTGATCCTGGCTGGCCACTCTGGTTGCAGGGAGTGAGCTGGATATCGGGTTCTGACCACCTCCCTCCAAGCTCATGCTCCATTATGGGCGTGACAGACTGGGATAAGTGGTCATACCAGGCAGGCTGAGGCCCCAGGTTCAAGGTCATGACCTGACATTACTTCCCCGACTCCCCTGCTCCTGCAACAATGGTGGGGGTAATTACTTGGGCCCATAAGCCACATAGGGAGGTTTGTGGAATTGTTATGGGCCAGGTTAGCACATTTCCCCCCACCTCCCCCCGCAACAGTTCACCAAACTTCCCGATGTGGGGTGGAGACTGGAGCGGGCAGGGCCCAAGCCCTGAGCTAAGTCCACAGCCCTGACTCCTGCCCTGGCCCTGGCCCACGCTGCACATGGGGGTTGGGGTCTCTGTAACACTCACTGCAGACCTGCCCACCCTGGCCATGATGGGCAGTGGTGGTGGCAGGAAAAAGTGGGACCTGGACTCCCACACCAGATCTGCCACCACCATTTATTGTGGCTGGGGCAGGCAGGTCTGGAGCAGATGCTGCAGGGACCCCAACCCCCCGCTTGGACTGGGGCTGGGGTCTGCACTCAGCCCAGGACTTGGGCCCTGCCCACATGGGAATGGGTTTGATGGTGGCAGCAGCTAAAAGGAGCCACTGCCACAGGGGATGCCAGGAAATGGAGTCCAGCTGTGGACGTGCTCCAGGCCCGCTGCATGCCTGGGGGCAGTAGAACATGCCATTGGCCAGATGGTGCCTGCACCAGGTGGGACTGAGGGACCCACCACAGGTTAGACAAAGTCCTTCTGGGGGCTGGATCTGGCCTGTGGGCCATATTTTTCTCACCCCTGACCTAGGGAACCCTAGCCCAGGCTTTCCTGGGTGGTCTTCATGAAAATTTTTTGCCAGATCAGCAGCATGGATGTTTTCTGCAGGCTTCCTCAGGCTCCCACATGCATTCGTCTGGCCTGTAACCCTCACAGTCTAGTAATAATACAGAATAATTTTCCTCACCTTTGTCTTGAGTCTAGAATCTCTTGAAGTAAGTATTCTTCTTGTCCTTGAACAATTATGGATGGTAGAGGAAGCTGAGATTAACGAAGGAGTGAGTTTTCCATGTAGGGCTTGAACAGGGACATCTGAAATACCAGGTGGATTTTGAGTGTTGGTGGGAGTTGCAATTCATTTGTGACCAGCTTAATTTGTTGGGTAATACAAAACATACTGATGTACCTGTGATCCAGATACTGCAAGGGCCAGCAGGTGTGGAAGTATGTGGTTGACAGCCATACCTTTTGTCCTACTGACTAAGCAGGCCCTGCTGATCTGTGTGTTCTTTGTATGCTTCTTTTGTCTTTTCTAGATGCACTTCTAATTTTGGACCTCTTGCCCATGTTGTACCCAGTATTTGGCCACAGCTTTATCCAGGGTGACAAGTAGGGTAGGGTGTAGCTAGGGTGGAATCCATAATTAGCAAAGAATGGGCTTTATTCAGTCAAGGCATGAGTGGCGTTTTTGTAGGCAAACTCTACAAGTGCTAGCGGGGGGCTTTTTCATTCTGCTGGAAATTGAGGTAACACTGAAGCTACTGTTCCAGAATCTGATTTGTTCTCTCAGCTTGACTGCTTGTGGGTCGTATACGGATGAGAGCTGGGCATGGACCCTGAGCAGGTGCAAAGCCTCACAAGTGAAACTCGGGAAATGAACTGGAGCTCATAATTGGATGTTGTGCAGTCTGGGAGACCATGAAGGTGAAGACCATATGATCTAGCCATAATTGGGCAGTGTCTTTGGCCAGGGCAGACCTGTGCATGGGATAAAGTTAGACATTTTGGTTAACTGATCTATCACTATCAGGATCATAGAATACCCATTGGATTCAGGTATCTCTACAGTAAAGTCCAGTGAAATAGCAAACCAGGGTTAAGGGAGAGGGGAAAACAGGAGGATGGAGGAGCCACAAGTTTTTTATGTGAGTTTTTTAGTGCAGGCACAAAGATCACAGGAGTGGATGAAATCTTGGACTGTCTCATGCAGGCACGGCCAGCAGAAGTAGTGGACAACCAATTGGTAGGTCTTTTTCATGTATGGGTGGCCTGCCAACAGCAAGTCTTGGCTTTTGTGAAGAACTGTCAATCTGGCCAGACCTGGAGGTGCAGAAATCCTGCCCTGAGTGAATATGATCCCCTTCTGTGCCTGGAAGGGTGTTGTGAGAGGGCGGTCTGCTCCATGGGGAGGGAATTTCTCTAGATGGATAGCAACTCCAACCAAGGTCTGCAGATCCATTGGTATCATGGCACCAATGGTAGAGTGAATACTTACGTGGAGTTCTTCCCTTTATAGTATTTGGTGTCAGATAGTTGTATTTTGGGTCCATTGATATAATCTTCAGGGGTGTACTCCTGCTCCCTCTGTGCAAAAATTAAGTTTGTTTCCTACCTATGGGGACTTTTTACCATCTTGCACCATCTACACTTTTCCCAGAGCCTGACGAAGGGACTTTGATCCCAAAAGCTTGCAGAAAAGGATGATTTTCTTGCCATTTTCCAGTTGGTCTAATAAAAAGTATCATTTTGGAACTAAGAGTTCTAGTTTTTTGTATGTCTTGATATAATCTTGACAGTTGAGGATGACTACAGCTCCACCTTTATCCTCTGGTTTGATTACTATTTCACTTCTGGATGTTAGGGAGTCTATGGGTTTTTTCTGAGGAAGAGAGTTTGTTGTGATCCTGGCTTTGCTGAGAATTTGGCTGTTACCTTTCTTCCTGAAGCAGCCAATAAATTAGTTCATGGTGTGGTTACATCCTCTGGGAGATGTCCAGTCTGATGTTTAATTATTGCTTTTTTTCTCAGTTGTGGCAGGAAGGTTGTCAGAGCCTGGAGGTGTTTCTATCCTGGGTGTGGAAGTATTCCTTCAGGCAAGGTCTGCAGAAGAATTCTTTTAATTCTCCATGTATTAGTATCTCCTCAGGTTGCTTCTCTGGAAAGAAGCTCAGGCCTTTAAAGAATACAGATATTTCAGAATGGGATAGAGGGTGCTGTGACCAGTTTATGATGTTGGTCTTTTTGGTACTGCTGCCTTGATTCCTTCCTATGTTGCTGTTGCACTGTCTGTGAGAGGTCTACTGTTGTAATAGCTGCTTCCACTTGGATGGCCGTCTCTTGTGTATTTTTAGTAGTACATTTGCGTCTGCAGCATAGTAGCTGTGTGTGTCTCCAAGTTAATATCTCTTAGTTTAGTAGCTTAGGTAAGTATGTCTTGTTTATGTTGATCCTTTTTGGAGTAGGTTAGGTGAAGAAGATGGTTTCTCAGTATTTCTGAAGTTCTCCTGCATTGTTTTGTTGCATATATAGAGCTAGAAGGTTGAAGATGACGAATCCTCTTAGGATATTACGTTAGTTTATAAGGATACTTTTACACATGCTCTGAGGTTGGGGTGTGCAGCGCTTCAATTAGACTGGCTCTGAGAGCCAGTCTAATTAAAGCTCCACTGTGTCTCCTGTATCAGTGTCCCTGAACTTTAAAATGGCAGCGAGCTTCAGTTTAAGTGCCCCCACTGCCATTTTTAAGTGCAGGAATGCTGATATGCTTGCAAATACCGTGCTCCAGCAGACTCAGTTAATCAAGTCTGCTCCAACGTGTTGGAATTCCAGCACATCGGAGCAGCCTTCGTGCTCATGTATAGACATCCTAAGGTGCCAATTTGTCCTTTCTTCTGTCTGACTTCAGACTAAGGTGGCTAAGTACCTTTCTCTGATCCTGTATAGTGTAACTAAGCTATAGTGTAAGTGAGAAGCAGACCTAGGCTGAACACCCAGGAGATCTAGCTTAGTTCTGCTGAAAACCCTCTCTTTTTCTTTCTTCTTGTAAAATGAGAGTAATAGTTGTGAAACTACATATTAATATTTGAAAACTTTCAAATTCTTCTCTTTTCTCTAGAATACTTATGATACAATTTTGTGTATGTGAGTTCTGGAGTGAACTGAAAAATAAGGATTCTAGTTCTCCCAAAATAAAGAAGGGAAATGTACACACAAATATAAAAATTACTTTGGGGACAATATTTTTGGTGGCTTGTGGAGGAAGAGAAAAAGATCTTTTTTTTAATATCACATTAGCATTTTTAGCAGTTTAACAACTTCCTTGTCCTGATTTTTTTTTGTATTCTTTCCTTGTTCTTCACACATTTTTGGCTCTTTTTCACCTAAAGAGACCAAAAAGATGAAGCTGGCAACTAGTGTGAATATTCCATCAGGAACAGTATGAGGAGAGAAACTGCTGTAGCCAGTGAAAGCAAAAAAATTCCTTGCATAGCTACTGCAAAATAATTATACAGTGATTATGCAAATTCATGTACTGATTGTCAGCCAATCAGCAATGCCCCCCTGAGTACTGCAATTCATCTACTGTACATTTTGAGAAATGAAAAAAATGACTATAGTAATTATTCGGATCAGAGACATGCTGCATTTTGAGTTCAAGGAAATGCATAAGTTGTGGGGGGGGCATGGAAATAGAAATCAATTATTATCTGGCTATATTTGATTGACTGAGAAGGTTCAAGTTCTGTATAATTTATGGAGCATTTCAGAAGATTGATCATTTTTCTGGCCAATATGATGGCAATGCTTATGTCCCATGAAGTCTGTGAGCAGGGAAGGAAAACCCCTGAAAAAATTAGGAGGAACTCCTGAGAGTGAAGTGGAAAAATAATAAACTGGTAATCTTTTTAGCATTAATTATTGCATTATTAAAACATATGTACAATGTCTGGAGCTAGATTCTCAAACTACAGAGCTGCCATTTGAATGATATAAGTGCATGTGCCTATTAACAAGACATTTTTAATATATGCCTGAAAAATATATACCAAACAGTGCATATACCCAAGTGCTTTCTTGTTGTTGTTGTTTTTTAAATTAAATCCCTCATAACTTGGTCAAACCAAAAGTGGCAACTAAAAGGTGCAACTACATCCTGTGGCATGTTTTCAAACACGCTTAGTAACAAGTAGCTTCCAGTGTTCTTAGCTGGGGCTGCTGACTGCCAGGCATTTTTGAAAATCTGGCCTCAGCTATGGACTATGGGTAATATTTTTTAAAGCATCTTGGTAATTTAGGAGTTGTTTAAAATATGCAAAAATGGTTTTTTTTCACTTGCTTTGCAAGGTTGTTTTTATTCAAACTTTCAAACTTTCCCCTTCAGCCAAAGATTCATCCTATAGAAAACTCAGCCCCAAAAGTGAAAGCTTTAGAAAGATGCAATTAACTGAACAAAAGCCATTTACTATGAAGGTGTTAGGTCACTGTAACCATAAGTAATTTTCAAGCTTATCACAATTGAAACAGAAGCATGATCCTGTCGAAAAAGTAACTAAAAGAAGCTCTTTGTAACTAAGAACTGTATTGCTAACTGTGTAACAAATGATTAGAGCATGATTAAAGTAAGACAATACGTAGCAAACCATATTTCATTAATTCTATGGTTTCTTTTTGTTTAACTTAGAAATTGTTGATGGCAATGTGAAAATGACCCTGGGTATGATCTGGACTATCATCCTTCGCTTTGCTATTCAGGATATTTCTGTAGAAGGTAAGAATATGCCTCTGGCTTTCTTAAAATTGTTGGGACAATGTTATGTCAACCTGAGTTGATATGGTTTGGTTTAAAACATTATTTTAGACACATCACTGAAAACTGAGGTGACACATTTGTAAAGTGAATTGTGTGGTAGAGTTGGTGGCATTAAGAACAAAAGTCCTCTGATTATTCACTGAAAAAGATGCAGTGAGATACCCCTGCTGCCAATTAGATCAGTGTTTGGGGACACGGTCATTTCACCCTTACCACAGCACAGGCCACAGACGGTATTTTTATAAGGTCCTATCTAAGTTACAGCAGCCTTCCTGGGATGCCATCTGGACTTCAAGCTATCTGGAATTTATGCAGTAATGTACTCTGGGGTCCTGCCATTTATCACCCTTTCAATTCAGGATGCGGACTGCCAATTTACCTCTTTGCCTCATATTTGCAACTCCCTCTTGCCTCTGACTGCAGCACTGCAGTTTGATCTACCTTCATCCCTGCCCTTCTCTTGGCCATCTCTGATTTGTTATAGGTTCAAATCTTCTAGGAACAAAGCCACGCAGTACAGGTTCCTGGGTAATGGCACACCTTTATTGGGCATGCTGGTGGTAAGCAGAGAAGCATTACTAGGAGTAGATGGCAGACAGGAGAGCTTGATTAGCACAAGATGAAGGGTTGTTAACACCTATGGAGTGAAGAGATGAGCAGGGATCAAGTAGCTAATAATGAACCATGGAGTCAGTTGCTTCTTCAGCTCTGCCTGAATAGAAATGCCACTGTTCCTGACAGCTTGTTTGTTTTAAATTTTGAATGAAGCAGGAATGAAAGGGGTCTGCAACTGCACCATCAGACCCCTCCCCGCTCTCTTCTGGATCCACCCTCACTTCCATCTACCCTGCTTCTGCCATTTCCCCATTATCTTGCCAGCTTTTACACTTCCTGCCTTCTGAAGCAAATACCTATATCTCTTCACTTCTTTGCAAATCTCACCTGAATAGGTATATTTTCTTCCTTATTAACTATATATCTCTCTTTAAATCAGTTCTGAATATGCAAAAGGTGCTAGACTTTTGTGCATGAGTTATAGGATGGACTTAAGAGAACCAGCTGTAGAGTCAGAAGTAATTCAGCTTTAGTGGTCCATTCAGCCCTTGCCTCATGTTGAGCCTGTCAACAAAGCTGCAAACTGTTCTGTGTTCTGTGACATGCATACCTGTCTACTGGGAAATGGATTGAAACCTCCAACATATTCCATGCAGCCCCCTGAATAAATGACAGTTATTAATGAATTCTAGGTTGCGAACTTAAAATGTTAGGAAATGGTCTGGGCTCCTTTTCAGTCTCCTGTTTTCTCTCTGGTGTCCCGTACAGAGACCTCTGCTAAAGAAGGGCTGCTGCTGTGGTGTCAAAGGAAAACTGCTCCTTACAGAAATGTGAACATTCAGAACTTCCACCTCAGGTAAAATCCCACGGGGTTTGATCAACTAAACATGCTTTGAGTCAGATTTTGCTCACAGTTTTGTACAGCTGTAAGTGAAAGCGTAATTTGACCCTTACCCATGAACCAAGACTTTTGTCCTCTTCTGCTGCACCCTCATAGTATGAGTTTTGTTAGCAGAATTGCATTTTTAATATAACTTGGCGTTTGGGGCAAAATGCTCTTAGCTTTTTTCAATGGTTACTATATAAAAATCAGCATTTGTCCAAAGTGACCACACAATGGTATTGGATGAATAGCTTCTATTCTAGGAACACTCCTGACTTTCTAATGGCAGCCTCTGAATGTCATTATTAGAGCCTTAGGAGCCAAATTCCAGTTTGATGTGTGTAATACTATCAACACTTATTCCATTATGGTGAATCACCCTTATTTGTACAGTCTGACATTATGTTAATGGCTTCCACAAAGTGCTGAAAATGTGACTCAAAAGAAAAACAGAACACTTCAAACAAATCCAGTACTGGAAACAAGTTCATTAGCATTACTTGAATTGGAGACAGAAGGGATGGCTCAGCCTCTTTTTTGTTTATTTAATGAAAATCTGCCTCTGACTTCCAGGTCACAGGCACGTTGCCTATATTAGCAGCTTCACATCAATTGTGGCCTTGGCTATTCAGATGACCTGGCTCACCAACACACGAACCCTGGAGTGAGTTCTGCTCAAAGAGCAATGTAGTTGTGATCAGATTCCTTATTAAAGGGCTATTCCATCTTAGTTTCCATTGCCTTGGTCTTCATATAATTCATACAGAGACCTACAGTTTATAAATATTTTAGAACAAATAAAATGTATTAATTTATTTATTCTGTTGCTTTAAATGAATCAGAATGTGATATGGTGTATTCTGCAGGAATAGATAACGGCTGATTTCGGTAGAGCATCATGCAGACATGGGCAGCCATCCATAGGTTCCAAACCTTAATGTTTAAATTTGCATATTTTGCCTTTCATACTCTGTAGAGAATAAACAACCCTCCCATTCCTCCAGAGCCCTGATTTACATTTGCATTCAAAGCAGCAGATATGTTTTCTTCAGTTCTTGCTTCTAAGCTTATGTCCTAAAGGATTTTATTGTCGTATACTATATGTTACTACATAGAGAATATGTTTTTATCATAGTTTGATGCTTAGGGCCACTGGATTCATAGGGTCACTGAACTCTTAGGTTCATTTGATTTTGACTTTTGAGTAACAGAAAGTATTTTAGCAATTGCATTAATTTTTTATTTAAGAATTGTCTCTTGCTTGTGCATGGTGATTAACACAACTTCTGAAGTCTTCTGGTATCATCTCAGCTGCAATAGCTATTTTTCAGGCCCGGAACTTATGCTTGTAAATTAGCTCTGAAAGGTTGCCAAAAGGCAGATTTTTAATGGCTCCATTTGTAAAGGTTGTCTCCAGAGTCAGTGTTGTCAGTTCTGATTCTGAGGTGTACGGAGCATCTGAAACTTCTCAGGATGTCATCCTCCCGCTGTACTCAGCCTTGGTGAGGCTGCAGCCGGAGTACTGCATCCAATTCTGGGCTCCACAATTTAAAAAGGATGTGGAGAAGCTTGAGAGAGTCCAGAGGAGAGCCACGCACATGATCAGAGGGCAGGAGAACAGGCCTTATGATGAGAGGCTGAGAGCCATGGGACTCTTCAGCCAGGAAGAGCGCAGGCTCAGGGGTGACCTGGTGGCTGCCTATAAGTACATAAGGGGTGTGCATCAGGATCTGGGGGAATGTCTGTTCACCAGAGCGCTCCAAGGGATGACAAGGTCCAATGGTCACAAACTCCTCCAAAATCGTTTCAGGCTAGACATAAGGAAGAACTTCTTTACTGTCCGAGCCCCCAAGGCCTGGAACAGACTGCTGCCAGAGGTGGTGCAAGCACTTATTCTGGACTCCTTTAAGAGACATTTGGACATTTATCTTGCTGGGATCCTATGACCCCTGCTGACTTCCTTCCCCAGGAGCAGGGGGCTGGACTCGATAATCTCCTGAGGTCCCTTCCAGCCTCATGTCTATGAAATGTATGAAACTTGTAGTGTTGTCAGTAGGAAGTGCAGGTGTGCTGAGCAGATTTCAGGATAAGATCCATCTTATATAGAGTGTATATAAATAAATTAAGTCTGTTTTCCATCATGACTGTACATTCCTTTATGAAAAATATATTTATGATATTATAATTTTATCTTATTGATGATGTTGGAAAAATCCCTTGGTTGAATAAGATCTCTTGGAAGATTCATCTAGACTTCATTCTTTCATTGTCATTATGAACATGTACTTCCATTTAGGTAAAGGGAGATTATGCACAGCCACTGAAAGACAAACAACTCTGTTTTGTCTGAGGGCATCAAATAGATTCATCTCAGAGCTTTTTTGCATAGTATTATACTGTATAAGGGCCAAGAACATGATATGGGGTGTTGGTTGTAGCTGTGTTGGTCTAAGGACATAGGCAGACAAGATTGTTTGGGTAAATGTAATATCTTTTATTATACAAAGTAAATTGTTGAAAGAGTTATTCTTTGCAAGCTTTTAGGCTTGTGTTTGTGCCTGAAAGCTTGCAAAGAACAATTTTTCCAACTATTTAGTTGGTCTAATAAAACATATCATATTTACTCAAAAAACCTTGTCTGCGAATAGCATGATCAGGAATACAAAGATTGAAGAAGAGTCCATACACAGCTTAATAATTGCCCTGCTGTAAGGAGACATCATTACCTGGATATACCAGAGGAGCATACAACTAAGCCTTGAGCAAACTGCAAACTGTAAAATGTCATGTTTGTATTAACTTATTTTTCCCTTTATTTTTCTATTGTTGCAAAGCTGGAAAGATGGCCTTGGATTATGTGCACTTATCCACAGACACCGACCTGATCTTATTGACTACTCCAAGCTAAATAAGGTCATCAGTCTGAGTGGCAGAGCATGTTGTCCTGCAGTGATTTGGTTCACTTCCTGTTTGCTTAGCATGTTCCCTGAAGGATGAGCTGAGGTGTACTTACTAACTCTGACTGGCCTTGCAACCTCCTGCCAAAACTGATCTTGAGGAAAAAAGGAAACCATTCGCCCCATGAACACATGCACGCATTCATCAGGATTATGATTATTAAAAAGTTATACTGTAGCCTCCAAGGGTGTACAATGATAAAAAGGCAGTCAATTGATTATTTTTATTATAACATATGCTTGGCTTGATCCTCTGCAAGTAAGCAACTTGTGCACTCCTTTACACCAGTGCGAAGTAGGTATCAAATTTCTAATGAACTGGCGTTTTCCAGTCACATTGATGATAATGTTCTATACCCTCCTTTCAGTGGTGAAAATGACTGTGCAAGTTGCAGAACAGTCAAGAATCAGGCCCATGGTTATGTTGGAAGTTTCTTTAGAGTAAATAATGCTTTTGGGAAATAACTAGACCTAGAAATCAAAAGCTATGAAGCAATATTCATTGCTTGTTATTTTACTTCTACCAAAATTTCACCCATATCCCTACAATTCCAGACAAAACAAGTACCTTAACATCACTGGATCTCAAAACATGGAGAGCTTAATAGTATCACAAAACAGAATGTAGAGGGCCCAGATGGCTTGATCAGACTGTGGTGGAAACTGGTGATTTTACTGGTTTTGAAACTGTACAAAAGGAAGGAAAGAGAAAAAAATAGTAATGATCTCAGCTATCAGGTCTGGGACACTGGTGGCTCTTGGGAATGTAGGTAAGCACAAGTCTCAGGTTTGCTGAGGGAAGTGGCAAATGAACAATGCTAGAAGAAAAAGTGAAATACTGTAAATTTCTCCTTTGGGCAATTTCCTGTGCTCTGAAATAAGACTGTCTTGACATGCCCTCCAATTCCAGTCAGGTAAAAAGTTCACCATGGTCTTAATTTGTTCAACACTACATTCATTTGCGAGAGAGACTGCTAAATCACAGGGCAGATTTTCCATTTCTTCTCCTTCTTATGATAAATTGGTTTTAGCTGTTATGGGAAAGCCTTTTAAAACAAGAATTAAAAATATTTTAAAAGCTTGTTCTGTTTTATGATTATTAAAAAGTTAGACTGTAGCCTCTAAAGGTATACAATGATAAAAATGCAGTCAATTGATTATTTTTACTTAAACCTAAAAAGTATTCATTTAAACATTTTCAACACATGAAAAGGATTGATTTTGAGCTCAGTCCTGCTATTCTTACTTAGGTAAGTAGAAACAGTGTTTGGCCTTTTATCTTCTTTAGGCTTAGTGACTTCTATAGCTTTAATGTGAACCTTAACCTGTCTCTCTCAGGGTATACACAGATGTAACAAATATACGGATAGCAAAGGATACTGATATAAGCTGTTATAATAAAATTGTTACAGCTGTATGATTCTGTACCAATACAATTCCTACACTACAAAAGTAATCCAGCTTTAACTTTGCTTAATTCAGGGTAAAAGTTAGGGTGATTTAGCTAACTTATTTCTCTACAGAATCAAATAACTGGAATAATTGCAATTTAACGAGTGATGCACACTCCTAAGTGGCAGCTGGCCCTGCTCTTGATGTGGTTAAAAAGTACACTAATCCATACCCTCACTGTACTTCACATTATTTGCCACACAGTTCCAATACAATTAGTAATACAAATCTAAATCAACAGGGCAAAATATCAGCCACACTTCTGTGAACATACATACTCATCGAAGTACTCAGGCCAGCTGTCCATGTTAGAAAATGTACTTAGGCATGGCATAAACAAAGGCTAACAGTTTTGAAGGCCTACTGAGAACTTGGCCCATGATATCGAGAACCTTCCTGGTAAAATCACCCTACTTATTTGTGGCGAAACAACAGAACACAAACAAATGTGACTCAGCTTAAGTGTTTCCCTCTCAGAAATTCCCAAATGAAAATGGGTCAGATTTCAAACAGTGACTGGAGCTGCGCCCTGTAGACCATGTTCAGGAAGATCCTAATATCCTTTTCTTGCTGTGTTTGACTGACTACTTGTTTTGCGTGTATTAACAACTGGCTTGATGTCTTTCTTTTGGCATGATATCTGTTTCTGTTGCATGTGTTCTTTTCTTGCCAATCTACCTTTTGTGTGGACTTGTAGCTGGAAGGATGGCCTTGGTCTCAATGCCTTTATCCATAGACACAGGCCTGATCTTCTTGATTATTGCAAGTTATAGAAGGTATTGCTACTGTAGTAATAGAGATGCTTTTTATTTTTTGAAAGAATGGGTGGTTTAGGTCTCCCAGCTTCATTTTAAGCATCATTTTAAGCAAATCTTCCTCCAGCTAACCATTGTTTAATCATTGACTAATCCACATGGGAGTTGTCCATCTTTCATCAACAAACAGTGTCTTAAATTAGTCAATTAGTCTTGCTTAGATTTAGTCTAGGAATAGCTGTATATTCACTTTCCACAACAAGTTGTTGCCTATGTTATCTGTACATGCTTTATATGCACAGTGGCATATTCATAAATATATAGTTAATAATAAAGTCATGGGTTTTAACTACTGTGCACAATTTTAAGGCTTTTTTAAAATGGCAATGATGTATATAATATAAATTGCTAATGAAATGTGTTTGATGGTAACATTGATGGTAAAGATGTGACTATAAAAATAAGTTCAACTGAACCCAGATTTTTAGGTCTTATGAGTTCAAACTGTTTTTCATAACTAACTTTCCTGATAATATAACTTAAAAAAAAAGAACGAGCAAGCTCCATTCACTAGAAATAGGTGCTATTCGTGATATTACTTTGTTTGAATAATTCACAAAAAATTGACACTTCATATCCATTATGTGTATGAAGTACGAGCTTCCATGAAACTTGGAATAATCACTGTCAGTTAAATCTCATTATTTTCACTAGTGCCATAAAAAAAGCGCCCATGAGACAAGCTCCCACTGTAGGCTGGTACTTGTATCCCAACATGAAATGAAGAAGTTCCTTACAAAAAGTTGTTTTACCTACTGGGAGATCCCAAGTCTGTCCTGAAGTGAAGTTCTTCTCTCATTTGAGAATACCCATAAGAAATTTTTCAGGTGCCAAGACCTCTCATGAGTTTGGGAGACTTAAGGCTATGCCTTTAATGATTCTCTCCTGAACCCAGATTCACTGTCAAAGAAATCAGACCCACCTACCCACTTACCCTTGTTGGTGACAATTCCAGATGCCTACAATTAGGCAGGCACTTATTTTTTCATCAGTGGATCTGGATCAGGAGAGAAGCAGTTTGGATGTGGCCTCACACACCAATTCAACACATTTTAGGAATTAGGGAAATTAGGAATTTCTTACACGATCACCACCTGTACATGTGCCCCCCATGGCACCGTTGTTACTGCACCGTCATTTAGTACTTTCTTTTGGACGGCGCAATAACAGCTGTTACTGCCCCATCCCGACAATGCATGGTTATTTTTAGACATTACATCACTGTAGCAACACACTATAATGAAGTAGCTCATCACTACGTAGCAGTGGTGTCACGGTTTGTGCCTGTCGATGCTATGTTGCCACAGCGACAAACTATGTTGCTGTAGTGCGTTGCTATGAGGACGCAGCTTCACGTGAAGCCATGCCCAGTGAGGACTAACTTCATCTTCACAGCTGAGATGGTTAAATCATGATACAAAATTCTGCTTCACCTTATCTCTTGGTATGACTCCACTGAGACATCTGCATTTCCTCTGCATCTTCTCTTATGCCTTACACCACTAATTCTGCCCTAGTGTGCATGCTCAAAAGTTATTCAAAAAAGGTCAAAATCATTTTACAATCTGTTACAATTCAGTTTCACCTGATTATGGAGAAATGCCGTGCAAAACTCCGAAAAGTGTGTTTGGCTGAGGGACACATGGTGGAACTCAGCTTTTGTCCTATGTATGCTATATACATATATGTATATCTATACATACATACTGAGATCTATTTGTCTGTATTAAATAATCTACCCCAGAACAAATTTGCAGCATGAGCCTAATGACACCTAGTAGCTTATGAATATTTTTGCTTAAAAATGTAGTGTCAGATTGATTTAACAGATTGATTTAGATCAGGGTTGTCCAACTTAGATGAGATGGAAAGGGGGCTGCACACCACATAGGCTGTATGCTGCAGGGGCAGGCTCCCAGGATCCCTTCTCTTCCCTCCCACCCCTGCTATTCTAGCTGTATGGGCAGCATGCAGCCCCCCACTTTCCCTTGGGTCCTGCCCCACTGCATGGCAGTAGGAGAGGTGGCCACAGGGGCCCACAGGCCACGAGTTGGACAGCTCTGATTTACACAGATGCTGCATATAGAGAGATTTTGAAGAATAATAGTTATGACTCAAGTGTCTAGTTGGGGAAAATCCCTTTTCTTGGATCAAACAGAATAACTTTCAGTATACCTACTGTATTATTATTGCTTCAAGAAAAGCTTCTGTTGCTTAACTGGTTATACTTTCTTCTTTTGTGCAGGATGACCCTCTAGGAAATATAAATCTTGCAATGGAAATTGCAGAAAAACATTTGGATATCCCTAAGATGTTGGATGCAGAAGGTGAGAGCTATCATCTTTAATGTATTTTAATGAGAGGTAGGCAGCAAAACATGTTTTACCCTTGGCCTGACAAATTTGCATAATTGTTTGTACATAAATTATCACATGTATGTATGTTTATTCATTTGACTTCCAGGATACCCTTCCTAAAACGGTTCAGGGTGCCTTACAATAAAAACAAGTCTTGAAAAAAGATAAATAAAACAATTCTTCAGACAGTACTTTAAAACTTAACCTCTTTTTGATGCTTCTTTTTTTAAAATGATCTCTTGCATCTTGATTCCTGAGTGCTAGAGAACTCCATACTTTTTAATTTGTTAATGATAAAATGATCATCTATTATTTACATTGCAGCAACCTCCTTGATCCAAAAAGTATGATCCTCAGGTGTTATGACCTCTGCACATACAGAATGAAAAGATAATCCCCTTTTTTAAGTGTTTAAAATGTAATGCAAGTAATTCACAAATACTCACAGTTTTAAAATATAGCAACATTGCCTGATGCTGGGATTGAGCTTTTAGAAAGATAATTCATATACTTTTTTCCAAATGTAGAGTTAACATTTGGCATACCACACTGGAGACTTAGAAAATTAGTGTTTTATCTTTTTATGTTGTTTTAATTTTTGTATAATGGTGAGATTTAATGAATAGTTCCATATTTAATCCTCCCTTTAATATGCTCTATAGAATCTTTCTATAGATAATATTAATACGATGTTAAGAGACTCGCATAGAGCTTCATGGAAGTATGCAACCTGCTGTATTTCAGATGTGAGTAACACCAAAAGATAAGAATTTTTTAGTTTGGTTCAAGTGTACTTCTTTAAGCACATTAATTCTGATTGGGTGCCTTGTCAGGTGATCAGCATTAATGGATAGAGTTATCTGAATTGCTCAGCCTTGGCCTGTCCGCTGCTATTGAAATCAATAGGAATTGAATTAAGCAAATGTTAGGAAATCCAACCTGCAATCACTTCAGTGAAGAGTGTTTTTAGTATTGCTGTCATGCTTCAAAATCCCTTGTCTCTTTGCCTGGAAATATGATTTCTGTTTTAAAAAACAGTAGATTCTTTTTACTATAAAATTGTATGCATCTACCATCTCTTTTCCATAGATGTAACTCTCTCTGTGGTTTCTCTTCATATGCAATTTGAGAAACTTTGTTTAACTTCTTTAAATATTATCTCATACCCTCTTGTTCTATACCTTTAAAGACACAGCGAGAAAAAAAAACATGAACTGACTATGAATATGTGAATCTGCGGACATATGTGCCATCCATTTTTAATTTAATTTTATAATTTAATATGCTCAATTTTTAGATTCATTGATTATTATGGTAGAAGAACTTCAAATGAATATTAAAATTGTAACTTTTTCTTTTGATCTTTTAAAATCATTATTATCCTACTCCTCCAATGGCCTTGCATGTGCATGGCGATTGTTTGCAGTTAATGCTAATGACACTCAAAACCCCTACACTAATAATCAATGATTTTCTGCCATATCGGTTAGGAGGGCTAAAAGGACAATTATTATTAATGGGTCCAAACTTCAAGCATATCCTAACTATAATTTTAATTACTTATTCTCATAGTGGTGACAAACCCATCAGGCTTTCAAGTCAAAGGGTCAAACTATGCAATAATTTAAGACAATATTTACTGAGAATACAGTACGACACAAGAGCTGCAAAGCTGTTAAAATCCAATCTTTTCTGCATGGTAGATTTGTTCTAGGTTGCAGTAGCTCACATATTCATGTTATACAGGTGTCTGATGCATATCAGTATCCTGTCTATTCATAGGAATGCAAAAGCAGGGCACATAGTACAGAAGGATGCTATGTTAACATGCTTCACATGCACTTCTATATCATATCAGTGCGTTAGGGTTAACTCTGGAGCAAGTCTAGTACCTAATGTGAAGTTACTCTGGATTCACACTGATGCAAAACAAAAGCAAAAATGATTCCAATAGGTTTGACTTTAGATCTGGCAACCTTGCCTGCAACTTTTGAATGCTTGGCTTGGATCTCCAACAAAGCTGTACAACATGGCAGTGCTGTTCTGTACACTGCTGAATCAGGTATTTTAGCATTTCACGTAGAGCAATTGATACTGTGTTTTGTGTGTCAGTTCTTAAAGCCTGAGCACCAGAGGACATCAGGAAAAGGAAACAAGCTGAATAATGATGAATTTATTTTTAATTCAGCATGTGAAGTGACATCATCATCTTCTGGAATGATACTGTCATTGGACTGAGTGGTTAACCACTCTTCTTCTTTCTACACAGATGTAGTAAACACTGCCAGACCAGATGAAAGAGCCATTATGACTTATGTTTCCTGTTACTACCATGCATTTGCTGGGGCTCAGAAGGTGAGGTTGTAGAAGATGGATCAGACCTCACCCTTCACCTTCTGTGGGGTTATTAGCAGCTTTATCCTTCTGATCTTTTCCCCACTAGCTCCTTGAGGAGCCTTTTAGAGCTGAGCGAGACCCTCATTTTCTGTTGCCTCATTTTCTTTGTGAGCTCCTGTCTTTCTATAGTTGGTAGCCATATAATCAGTTGTTTGTTCTCTGGAATCATACCTTTCTGTCTCACTATTCTGTATATTTACCAATAATATCCAACAGAGGTGTCCTTAGTTGGTTGATGAACTGGATAGTAGACATACTTGTCTCCAATGAAACTGTGTATTGCCTTGAACCAAATTTAAGAAAGCAAAATAAAAATAACAAACTCACAGGGAAATAGATATCTCCAAAACAATTCAGTTGCTTTTATTTCCCCTGCTGGATATTATTCATGCTACTGTTGTCAAATCGTAACAGAAGCTCAAAACATGAATCCTTTTCTTATGCTCTCTGGAATTTTTAAGAGTTAACATTTTCTGGTAAGTACAAATGTGTAGAAACATAAAATGCTTGTAGACACAAAAATTGCATATAGACTTTTTGGAATATGGATCGGTATTATAGTGCAAAGAGTAAAAATAATTGCAGAATTCTACACAATGCAAATGCCATTACCGGTAGTGGCATTTGCCACATAGTATTAAAAAAATAACTTAACAGTTGTCCTCTAGGGCAGTTCTTCTGGGGTCAAAACAGCTAAAATTTAGTCGGCTATGTAAACCCACTACTTACATACCTTAGCTGACAGGTCACATTATAAGTAGATAAATATGAACCTGATCCTGCAACTCTAACTCATGTGAGGAATTCTTGTGCAGACAGATTGTGCAGTTGAAGTTAACATCATTACTCCTCTGAGTAGTAATGATAGCAATATGTGTGCAGGATCCAGTCCTAGATGTGAAAACATTTCCACTCTCTGTTTATGTAATTTCAGTTTGATTTTTAATGTACTATTTTTTTTTCTGCCAGCACCAGTAGATCTAGCAGATGATTTATTCCATCTTTGAATAGTTTCTGAACTATAGAGCATTGAGCAAACACTGGCTTAATACAAAAAAACAAAGAACTGCAAGGCAGAATAACAAGCATATTGCGTGTTCTTTTTTCATCTTGTTTCCTACTCCTCGATTTTTTGTTTTGTTTTTATTTCTCCCTCCTCACTATAGATATTGTGAACACTCCCAAACCAGATGAGAGAGCTATCATGACTTATGTCTCCTGCTTCTACCATGCTTTTGCTGGAGCAGAGCAGGTATTAATCAGCTGTCCCTTTGTGTTGCTGGGCTTTTTTGGTTTGCTATTTCAGAAGTCCATGAGTGTTTCACATAATTTAGGTCTTTGTGGTTTGTATTAACATTTGCAAGTTTGTCTGAGCATAAATGTGTGTTTGTAACCCACACTTGACTCTGACTCAGCTAAATGTTCTGTAGCAAGTTTGATCTTTTTTTCTTCCCTTTTTTTAGTTCAAATAAGCATTACCATCTTTCTAGCACAATCTCAATTTTGAATGTCTTTATTTAGGTATTTCAGAAAGGTTGTTTTCATTTAATTAAGATAGAGAGAAAGGTACTTGAAAATCTATTTCAAAATTTCAAAAGGCTGATACACTTAGTGCAATATTCAGCAGTACTGAGATGCCTGAGTCCCTTTGACACCAATAGGATCATTTATGGAAGAAAGTGCTATTCCACTTGAGTAAGAATAGAAGAATGTCATTAGCCTGCTGGCCATATGGATCCCTTTCAATTATAACCAGGTCATTTCCCCCCTACATTGCTTCATATACTTTTAAATCAGAAACAGAAGTAAGCCTTTTTGCTGAAAAATGTTTTATGACAGCTGATAGCTGGTGTTTCTTTCCTTCTCAATTTAGGGGATAACTTTTCCTTTCAGCCTGATAATTATATCCTGGTTTATTACAGCATCACCAGGTGGTGCTAGCATCACCTTACTAAGGCATGCATAGATTCTTCTTTGCATAGCTGAGGTATATCCCCTGTGTTAATTTATTCAGGGAGAAAAATCAAAGTAGCCACATGAAAAGGAAGCACTAACTCAAAACCACTCCAAGGTTTTTCTTTGTTACCCAGTTTTCACTTTTTATTTGTTCTTCAAACCCAATTTTTTCAATTAAAAGGCCAAAATAAAGGAGTAAAATTTATTTTAGTAGCATCTACAGGGCACGATAGTTAATTAGTACCATTTGTACTATGTGTTTTATACACACATAATAAAAATATATTGATAGGTTTAATAACCTATACTGATGTTGATGCAGGCAATAGATAAAGTAAATACAATTGTGGGAAGAAGAGGTAAACAGAGGAAATAATCACTATTGGAATGATAAATAGTAGCATCAGCACACCAACCCAGACTCTGGGGAGTCTAGAGTTACGCTGCCATAATGGTATCTAAACTCCTGTTCCATGCAGGATTAGGATCTCTGGTGTAGCAATCAGCTGCCACGTACACACAAATAAATACAGTGTTCCTTTGACTCCAGTGGAGTTACTCCAGATTTAACTTGCATAAGAAGGTAGACATTGAGCATCTATACATATTCAGGTTCTTCCACAGTCTAAATGAATTGGGGCTTGTAAAGTATTTGGGGCTGTTTTCCAGTATCGCTAACAGACCTAATAATATTCTAGTGTGATTTTTTTAACCTAATAACTTAACATGCACAATGATCTAAACCTCTGTGTAAGTAAAAGTTATTAATTACCTGTTAATTACAGTGTGAAACTATGTGTTGCATTATAAACTTTCCTGTCTAGAAAAAATTCTATAGGTACTTGCTCCCCGCTCACCTTGTTGCAGGCAATGGAGTTGCACAGGGTGTTGTAGTGGCAAAGCTGTCCCATTAATTCTGAGAAGAATAAAGTGGTACAACAATAAGCACTGCATTATTTATTTGCAGCAGTCACATTCTTCTTACTTCAATTTTGTATCTGTTTGTGAGCGAGACTAGAACCCTATGGTAAATGTGGCAGCAAACGTGTTCTGTTTATTTGTTGTGTTTTACAGGCCGAGACTGCGGCTAATCGGATATGCAAGGTACTTGCTGTGAATCAAGAAAATGAAAGATTGATGGAAGAGTATGAACGGCTAGCAAGTGAGGTAAGGAAAACTGTCTTCATAATACATAGTTATTATATTCACGAAACACAGGTGACGGTATGTTCATTGAACAACTTGTAACAGATCACTGTTAAAGTATTGCAAAGGTGACCTTCAGAGAGGGAAGTGTACTTAACAGGGCACTAACTTAGGATTTGGGAAATGTAGGTTCAAATCCCTTCTGTGTTATAGACTTCCTGTATGCCCTTCGCAAGGATATCTGTGTCTCAGATAGTTCTGCTACTGTAAAATAAGGATGTTAGCAAGCACACCTCACAGGAGTGTTGTGAGAGGAAGTATGTTAAACAGGTTATAAGGTGATCAGATGTTATAGTAACGTACCATGTAAGCATGTGGGATAGACAGATCTTTGAGGATTTCTACATTGGGACAATAAAAGAACTGCTGACACACATCTTGAATTCATTTAAAAATTCATTGTTTGTTTTAGTTTGAAAAGTTTCTTCCCCTTAAACCAAAAATATTAAGATAATTTTTTTCCTAAAGAAAAGTAGCCAAAATGACTAGTTACTTCTAAAAGTCTTTTGCTTAGCTGCCATGAAATAATTGTTTTTGGCAAGAATAATGTGGTAGGGGAAAAGGGCACCGGGGTTTGTACGTTCAGGCTTATTGGCTTTGTTCGTCTTTTGGGTTCTAATTGTTTGCATGGGTTTGACAGCTCTTAGAATGGATTCGTCGCACAATCCCTTGGCTGGAAAACAGGACCCCTGAGAAAACCATGCAGGCCATGCAGAAGAAACTAGAGGACTTTCGAGACTATCGTCGCAAGCACAAGCCTCCCAAAGTCCAGGAAAAATGTCAGCTGGAGATCAACTTCAACACCTTACAGACAAAACTGAGGATCAGCAATAGGCCAGCCTTCATGCCATCAGAGGGGAAAATGGTTTCAGTAAGTTAAACCAGAGGCCCATATTCTTTTGTCATTGCTATTGGGATGGTCAGGAATATCTGAATATTAACATTAACAAGGCTAAATTCAGTGATCTATTTGAAGGAAGACTTCTGTTGATTTGTTGTAGTTCCCATAAATTAGTTTTTTTTTCCTGCATTTTTCAGCATTCTTCATCAAAGTGGTCCTTGTTCCTAAACTTTGGAGACAAGAACTGTTTCTAGAAAGAATTCTCATCTCCTGATAAGTCATGAGTTTCCAGTATATTAGTTGCTGAATATAGCAGATTTTTGTACTGCACTTAATCTGATGTTTCAAGTTTTATGAACATTGCTTAAAAGTATGCCTAGCTTTCCCATCCCCCCCAACCCCAAGATTGCCAGCATAGCTTAGTTTTGGTGTCTGTAGTTCTCTAAAGGCTCACAAAATATTCTTTTCATCCATGTGCACACACATGCATACAGTATTTTCTTAGCTGTCAGCACAATACACACTGTACAGTTTAGATAGCAGCATGAAAACATGCAAATTGATTGTTTTGTCACTGTCAACTTCTACAAGCAAAGCATTTTTGTTTTGATAATGAACACCTACTTTGAGGACACTCTGCATTATCTGCAGTAGAAGGGCAAGGTGTAAAATATAATGTAAAATATATGTGCAAGAACTAAACAGGTGACAGCATGCAGTCCTTTTTTCCTGAGCAACAGGTTTTTGCACCCACTTGTACAGATTTTGCTGGCCTGGTTTTGGGGGCCTATCATTTACATTTTGGACATACATTTCCATTCTGAGAGCAACATATTAAAGTCTTGTGTGGTCTGGGACTTTGGGTAAAGACATGTGAGATAAAAGGTAAAAATGAAAAATTTTTCTTCTTCCCTCCCTCCAACATTTTACAGGATATTGCTGGTGCTTGGCAAAGACTTGAACAGGCTGAGAAGGGATATGAAGAATGGTTGCTGAATGAAATACGAAGGCTGGAACGACTTGAACACTTGGCTGAGAAATTTAGACAGAAAGCTTCTACTCATGAAACTTGGGCATATGGTAAGTAGACCTGGCTTAAAGTGTATCAGATATTTCTAAAATTGCTGGGTATTTGCCAAGCAAAAATTGACTGGGAAGTTATTTGGGTGGTTTTCTAAACCTCAATTTAGCAATGGTGACCCCAAAAACTTTCAGCTTTCTGCCCTACAGTCATCATCTTAACTCATAGGACATGAAGTTAATTACATTTACCATTCAGTTACATTGGCTGAGTCTAATGGAAAACTAAAGGAAGTCTTTACATGGACTCGGGTGGGGGGAAAGGGGGCGTTTTTATAAAGTGGCTCTTGGGACCTGCTTTAATTAAAGCACCCGCAGTGTCTCATGTATTCAGTGTCTCACACTTCAAAATGGTGGCAGGGGCACTTTAACTAAAACTTGTTTGATGAGCTTTAGTTACAGCACCCCTGCCGCCATTCTGAAGTGTGGGGATGCTGAATACACGTGACACTGAGGCTGCTGGAGTGTGCTAATTACTTCCACTTTAATATTCTTACCCGGTATTTTTATAGAGATCACTTCATGATTTGTTGCTGGCACCTAGTCTCTCTCATTGTTTGCAGTCTGGGCTTGTGACAAGCTAGTCAGGGCTGCAGTGAGTCCAGGAAGGTTCTGGGTACAATTTTAGTTAACAGCAACATGAGGTCCATTGAACATCAAGAAGGACAAGGTCAGTCTTCTACTTTAAGGGCCAAACAGAACTACGTCCAGGCTGTGCTTGAGCCAAAGTCCCAAAAGCAAAGCTAAACTGAACAAAAGAAGAAAGTGAAAACAGCCTGGCTCTTTCTCTGGGCTTTTTAAGATCATGCCTGCTCACAGGCAGCCACAATGTTGCCCCATGAATAGAGATTTTCCACATTCAATTCTCTTCTTATGTAATCCTTGTCCCAGAGATTTTCAATTCCCAAGTTCAAGCCTCTATGTAAAATTCAGGCTGAAGACTTTGACTCAGTTCAGTGTCATACTTCTAGCTAAGCAATTCAGAGTTTGAGTATTGCTGGATCATCACAACAGCTGGATGTAAATGTTATGTCAATTACATGATCAGATGCTCAGTCCTTTCCTGAGCTCAAGTCCCCAGGTCATAGTTCTCTGTTCCAGTACTGGCCCAGTCTCACCTTAGTCAGAACTGTTAGGGGCCTGTGCTAGCTTTCAGACCTGGCATGAGGTTCATTTGGGACCTTACAACACTAGAGAATCTGTATAATAGCCTCCATCATACACAACTGCCTCCATTGCTTGTGCCCAGCATGCCCTTTATCCCCTGCACACAACCTTTGCTGGCTCTTCCCGACCAGAATTTAGTCATACTGCCTGAGTGGACCATATGTAGTTGTTAGAAACATACAAGTCAATAAATGACTACCAAGGAAGTACCAGAAGCGAAATGCTATGTAGAAGTCCTAAAAGCCTACTTAATGAAAATATACTACCGGTGACCACAGATTGTGACTCTGGTACAAGGGAAATTTACACACAAACAGATACAGGGACATATATACAAGCAAAATAATGATTCTCCTTTGGTCTTAAAAATCTTTGAATCTGTGGATTAGCATATTGTAAAAGGAGGCTAATTCAGAGAGGTCAGTAAGTTTTCTGCATTTTCACTTTAAAAATCAACAGCATTTAAAAAGGCAGCCACTTGTCTCAGTCATTTTTGGAGATTTTGGGGGTTTGGGACCTGAGTTTGACAGAAATTAATGAATTTATTACTAAGATTTGTTTTGAATATAGAGATCTGGTGTCTGGTTTCATAAACCAGGTCTACACTGAGAAAAGGTTCGCTTGCATAGCTACTATAGATGCAGCTTACACCAACAAAAAAGAGCTTTTCCTAGTACAATTTATTTATACCACTTTAATGAGTGAATTAAGCTATCCCAGCAAGAACACTCTTGTACTAGTATAATGGGTCTGTGCAAGGCTTTTGCAGGAATAGAGGGTCACCCCCAAAATCACACTCCTAAACACCATCACTCTCAGCAGCAAAATCAGTTTTGTCACTGATCTTGGTAGGGCCAGGATTTCACCAGTGCTGGATTTTGGATCAGAGCAGCCGTACCTTAACTTATGGACATTGTAGTAATGAATTAGGAGCAAGTGAGCAAGTGACTGCTCCTTCTATGTTATTTGTAGGCAAAGAGCAGATCCTACTGCAGAAGGATTATGAATCAGCTTCGCTGACCGAGCTCCGGGCTTTGCTGAGGAAACATGAAGCCTTTGAGAGCGACCTGGCTGCCCACCAGGATCGAGTGGAACAGATCGCTGCCATTGCCCAGGAGCTGAAGTATGTTCCATTTAGAGGCACACAGCTGCTGACATTTAACTGATAAACGCTTTCCAATAAATTCCATAGTGTCATAGGTACAATGTAAGAATGCCACAGATAGCTTCATAAGTACATTATCTGAACGGGTCACTGAAACCTTTCTCTCTTTTCCTTCCCTTCATCTAAATATAGACATACAGATGAATGTGGTTGTTTGAGGGCAAACATTTTCAGCCTGATTTACAGTATGCTTTTCTTTCTCTAGATCTATCAGTGGGTATCTTGTTGTGGGGGGTGGGCTGTTCATGTGAGCTGCTGGGGGAGACAAGCTATGAAGCCATTGTCATAAATTACAACTGTCATTTTATTTCCATATACACAATATAGATTGAATATCCTGAGACTATATTTGAACAAATTCTTACATTGATGTAGCTTGCTGATCTTTAGCGAGAGTGCTATAGCACACTGGGATGCCTTGAGATTCTTTGAAGGGTGATACACAGTGTTAGCACTGGTAGGTGTGTATACATGATTCACAAGATAATTGCAGAGATTTCAAATAGGAATCCATAGTTTTAAAAGCATTCTGACCTGTTGTGATCTTTCTGAGTTCTTTGCAACAGAAGATTTGCTCTAGTATTTTTCTGTAGTCAAAAAACAAGAGAAAATTAAGAGCTGGCATTTTCCAAGGGATGCCTTGAGTCTATCAAGGGGTGCCTCATGTCTGAAAAGGTTGGGAACCACTGATGTATCTCATTCCATTTCAAAAGGTTTTACATAAGTATACAAATTTGTGTTCTATCCGTGTGTAGGCAGTCTACTATTGTTTTTGCAATTCCCATTACAATAATGTCTGAAGACTTCACAGGTGTTGACCTACTTATTTTCAGAATACACCTGTGAAGTAGGGAAGTGCTACTATCCTCAAATTACAAATGGGAAAGTGAGGCACACTAAGTGACTGTGGGAGTAAGGACTTTAACCCAGGGTCTCCCATATCGCAGCACACCACCCCAACCCAGACCAGAACATACAATTATAACCTATTCAGATGGAGAATGCAATTAGGTGAAGAGTCTAATTCCACTACACACAGCCTGGTTCTACATTACAGGCATTTGCTGGCATGTCTGCATGTGGATCAGAAGTGTGAAGAGGTGTGTGATCCCTGTGCTGTGCAGAAGTGTGAAGAGGTGTATGATAGCTGTGCTGGCAGGAACCTAAACAGCAAAATGGAAGTTTTACTGGCATACCTTGTTTTGCTCCTGGGGTGTAGTTTTGTTCTACTTGTACAAAGTACAGCTTTGCTGGTACAGTTGTGCTCACTCTAGGAGCGCTTTGGCAATATTTCTTTATTGGTAAAGTAATCCTGGTGTGAATATAGCTTTAAACACATGCTTAATTTTAGTTATGCTGGTAATCTCACTGAATGTAATGGTTTTATGCTGGAACTCAGTAGTACTATTTCCATACTTAAAATGAACATGCTTAAATATTTTGCTGAATTGTGGAGCAAAACTATAAATCCAACAGTAATCACTGTGGACCTGTGATTAGAACGAGATTCTGTGAGTCGGGACGTTCAGATGCTGGTCCCATCCCTGCCACTGACTCTCTGCATCATCCTTGATAAGTTTCTCTATGATCTCTGTGAGTTTGTTTCTCCATTTCTTAGCTAGGTAGAATACCTATTGCACTGAATATTGTACAAAAAAGCATTTATTTCCATTTTGAAAAAGGCCATGATTTAAAAACTTCATGGGGTCCAGTTCTGCTTCTATGATCCTGCTCTGCCTGCCTTCTGAACACTGGGGAGTCTTACCCTCATTTATGCTCCTGAGGAAAAGTCTCTAAAGAGCTTGTCCATGCTACTTGCCTATTGCACCCAGGAATTCTTCAGGGAAGTTCATCTCATCAACTGACTCCCCCTCTGCCAGGGCTGAAGCAATTTACAGCCCTGAGAAGCTCAGTCAAGATAGAGAGTTTAAGAGTGGGGACATGCTCAGAACCACTCAGATGGCCATGCTGATCATTTTCTGGAGAGGGGGGACATGAAGTAAGAGTGAGTTAGTATGTCATGCTTCACAGCAAGCTTCAGTAGCTCCTCTACACTAGAGAAGAAAATGTCTAGCAGTTTCTAACTCTAGTTTTGCTCCACAAGCATAAGAAATATTGGAAAATTGGTGTAGACTGTCTGACAGCCATTGCTGTTGTTCTTAGCACTATACCATCTGCCTCTGTACGTTGTATGAAAGGCCAGTTGACCATCTTTGTTACAGCTCCAAACATCACTACTAATACCAATGGAGTTAGATTGGAATGAGCAACAAGGTTTTATCTTTGAAAAGCATCCTTATGATGGATAGGGTCAGTGGTGCATCTTCTAAGTCTATATTTTGCAAACTACAAAAGACCATGTCCAGGTGGTTAGAACAGGGGTTGGATGGGAGTGAGAAAGAATACACAAGTTCCCTAACACTGGCATTGACCGACTTCCAGCTGAGCTAGTTCCTTGTTGCTTGGTTTCTAGAGATGCCCGTAGAATACCATAGCTCCTGTTGACTTCAGTGATGTTGTACATGGTCTCCTTTGAGCATTTGTGAACTCAGCTGTAAAATGGAACACCACTGCCCTGCCTCTTAGGTGGGATATAATGCTAAATACGCTTAAAGCCCTTGGAGAACGTTGAATGAAATGATTGTTGTATAAATGGCAAGTACTCAAGCAAATGGAAGTATTTTTAGGTGCTGATTTTAATAAGCTAATTGGAAGTTTCTCACAGAATCCTATTTCAGTCTCTGTAGGGGTATTTCTTAGAAAGACTGTGTGCTTAAAATATGCATGTTAACAAATATGAACTTGCCCATTGAAGTCAATAGGGCATCTTTCTGTTGAATTCTTTGGTCATTGGTTCAGACCCTTACAGAAACCAGTATTGTCCATGTCCACAGTCCATGGCAGCATGCCTGCATACCTTTTGGTAGTCATCTCTTGGCCGCCTGATGTTTCTATTTTGATAGAGAACAATTGCTGAGTGCCCTTGAACTGTACTTGTTACAGTTCAGTGTCAACTCTGATATTTTCTGCTACAGCAGCTGAGTCCACTAAGAGCATGAAGGTTAAAGTTGTTAAAAGCTTGTTGATTGATGGTGTTTGGATGACGGATGTGAGTGTGTGTGCATGTGTGTGTGTATGTGAGAGAAAGAACAAATTCATTCTGGTTTAGATGTTGTTATGTTGTTATTCTGTGCCAATCTGGATAGTCCTGGAAATCATTGCCATGAGACATCACAGACCTTGGATAGGATGCTATTTAAAACCCAGAGAAAAAAACAGATTTCCCATTTATAAATCTGTAGATGTTATATATATTTCAGCTAAGCTATATGCCAAGGTGCTAGTAATTTATAGTGTAATGCAGTGATTCTAAGGTGTTCAGTTATCACGATCAAAATTTTGTAGTATATTTTCATGAGTAAATACCTCCCTTTGGCTCTGGGCATATGAACAATTTACTCATGATATGAGGACAGGGATTTATTGTACGTCAGCTACACTTCAGTAACAGCATGCTCTGATCTTTTAGGCTAAGTACAGATGTTCAAGAAACCCAAGACGGAAGCACTCTAAGTATCACACTTTACTCAAAGTGGCTTAGATTAGTGTGGGAGCAGACAGAAATGACATTAGCCCATGGTGTGTGTGGGGGGGAAGGGGGGAGGAAGCAGGCTGTGCTGGCCGAGGCAACCAGACAGAGCACTCCCACATGTCTTGCAGAAGGCAGTCAGAGCAGCCCCTCTCCCCACCAGTTGGTGGCTGTCAGCAGTGACTGGGGAGGAGGGGAGTAGATGCCCCCTCCCCCAGCTTGCTGGCTTAGGTCTTGGGGAGGGGCAGGCTGAGTCAATTCAGTATGGGGGCTCCATTATCCCCCACCTACTCCCAGCTCCCAGTGTGATGAGAAGTGGCACAACCTGAAGCTGCAGCTCACAGCTGCAGCTGGGGGAATGGAGCCCATTTGTCATGCAGACCTGGCCCAGCCTCCTCCAAGATCCAAGCCAGGAAGCTGGGGGACCTGCATGGCAGGGGGCTCTGTTCCTCCAAACCCCCTGTCTGGCCATGCAGGGAGGATTCTGTCTCCTCTCTGTGACAGCTCAGGGATGAGGCTGGGCTGGACCAGTGCTCACCCAGAGCAGATGTGCACTGGCCAAAGCTAGAAACCCATCCAGTGAGGGGCCCCAGGGATTCTGGCACAATGCAACCTACCTTGATTCACAATGGGATGTGGTACAGACATTCAATAAAGCACTCTAACCTAGAGTGCTTTAGTCTGATACCATATCCATCCAGGGTTAATTTAGAGCAGGATCTGCCACATTGAAAGTGCTCTATGTACTGTGAACATCTGTACATTTATTGAATGGTAAGCGTAACACCTAGCCTTAGTAAATGGAAACTAAACTGTGGGCCTTGTTACATGTTGCATGTTGAGCTGCTCATACGTTAGTGCTAGGTTGAGTTTGAAAGTCACACCTTAAGAATAAAAACCTTCTCTGACTGTGCCCCACCTGCACAGCTGTGACTTACCCCTAGAAGGCTGGTGGGCAGGGGCCTGACTAGGAGCTACAGCAGTGTCAACAGTGAGTTGACACTACAAGGCTGGTGAGCGAGGGCAGGCTTCTATCCCTGCTCTGTGTGGCGGGGTGTAAGAGATGGTGTGTGTGGGGGAGGGCAGGAACATGAAGCTGGGAGGCGGAGAATTAATGGGATGGAGTGATTAATGAAATATGAGGTGGAAGGGAAATGGGGGTGGGGGAAGGGCAGTGAAATGAAGGAAGTCAGTCAGTCAAAGAAGATCTGAAAAGAAGTTAAAAGAATTTGAAAAGACAGAAAGAGGAAGTAAATTCAAGAAACTCATTTTTTAGAACATTGGGATTTGGGATTGAGGCATGAGGGATTCTGGTCATGCTTCCTAGAGTGGCTGGGAGGTGGGAGCAGTGAGGAAAGGTACTTTTGGC